TCAATTGTCAGGAACTCTCCGGCAGGCGGGAGCTGTTGGCGCTTTATACCGGAATCCAGCAACCAAGCTTGGTGACACCACACGCATGTATACATATATATATATATATGAAACATGTAGAAGCCCCGTGAGGAGCGCTTTAATCGAAACATGCAATGGTTACCAGAGGGAGGGGAACAACTATACTTACTTTAGAAGTGGGAGCTCACGATCAACAGCGTCCACATATTTAAGACTGCTCGTTCTTTCCCGCTCGAGTGCCATTCAAAACGTGTATCCCAAGCCTTCGGTACCCACCGCATTCGCCTTCGACCGTACCCCCTTTGGGGGATATCTTCCGTACCTGCCGCGTGTAATTGGTGCAAACCCCTGAAATAAGGAAAGGGAGGACGAATGAAAGGGGGGGGGACAGGATGGAGCACGGGATAAGCAGGAGGGAGGCTGGGAGCAGAAAACACATGGCAGAACCAGACGGGCTCATCGGGCGGGTAGACCCTCATGGACGGGTTGGGAAGGCGGGCCCAAGCGGCCAGGTCGAGAAGGCGGGTTGCTGAAGCGTGCGTCCTGCATGAATCGCGAGGAACTCCCGAGCGATAGCGCGATTCCCAAACAAATCGTGAGGACATCCACAGCGAAAGCGTGCTTCCTGAGTGTCGAGGGCGCGGCGTCTGAATAGATTGCGAGGACGTGCCACGCGAGAACGCGATTCCTGAATACATTGTGCGGAACTCCCGCGCAAGAACACGATTTTGAAATCAATTGTGAGGAAGTGTTAGGCGGGAGCCGTTGCTGTTGTAGCCGGGGGGCCAGGGGCACAGTCTTTCCTTGCATGGTGCGGGCCCCGAGGGAGGCATTTGAATTGAAAAGAAAAGAATCTGCACAGGTGGGGGGAACAACAATACTTATTCTTTAGGAATGGGAATTCAACAACAACCAGCCCCGCGGAAGCCCACTTCAGCCACGCACCCAGGGACAGTGAATGGCCGTGCGGCCCCCTATCTCTGACATATATGTATATCTATATTGCTTATTTCTTTATTCTTTCTTTTTTTTGTCTCTCTCTCTCTCTCTCTCTACATATATGTCGTACTGTTCGTGAGTGGTGCATCAACTCGGCCGATTTGGAAATACATGGCCCCGTTGATGGCCTCTTGGACCCAGAACGATTTGCTCCCGTCGTTCTTGACCAGGCGTTCCACGCCATGAAGCGACTGCGCAAGCGCCAAGTGCGTGCAGAATTATACTGATGTGCACCATGCGGAAAACCCGACACTTCGGAAAGCCCATGGAAGGAAGCGCTGACGTTTCATATCCATCAGATCATATTCTGCCTGAGGCTGGCATTAAATGGATCGTCGCCTGATCGCAAAAGCGAAGAACACGCCAACACGCCAGAAAGCACGGTTGCAAGAAAGACAGCCGTATCTATGACGGCGGTTTCGTCTCGCTTGCAGTAGTGTGGCCACCGTATGCAGAGATGTACGGCTCCTCATGTGATGTTCGAAACACTTCTGATCGCCATCCCTTACCACTCCCACTTCCCGTCCTCCGCATCCTTCGCTTCCAAACTCAGCCTCCTCCTCCTCCTGCTCCGCCTCGCCCTCCCCCTCCACCTCTCAAATCTATTTTTCTGCGGAATACCGATGCATGTTCGGCCTCTTGGTTATAATCTAGCGTAAACTATGTTCATACAAATTTGACAACTCATATAGTTCAAAGTGGAGACTTTCTTATCGCATATATGATGGCATTGGGAATGTTATACCGGAGCTTGCTCATAATGCCTCAAGCACTTCTCAAGCTTGGCATGTTTCCAAATGTGCACCCCTCAGGGCAACATAATCAAAAAAGTGGTTGATCATGTTGTTGCCGCAATTGTTTATTACTGCAACATCAAAAAAGGGCCCTCAGTACTACTCCGCACCACCTCACCCTACTGCCTTCAGAAGACGCTCCTGGGAGCCTCGTGTAATCACCTGAGTGGCCGCAGTGGATACTCCGGTGGCCCCCTGCGGGCTTCGAGCGACCTCCAGAGGCTCCTCTACAGTGGGGGCTCGGCCACAAGAAACCTCCGCAAGAAACCCAACCCTGAAATCCGCGATTTGTTCAGTGAAAACCCAAAATTGTCGATCGGAAATCGTCCAGATCTTATTGGAGCCCATCGAAATCCAAGAAACCCAGGGCACCCCGGCAAAATCCAACTGGTTTCTTGGCACGCGCCCACACCGTAGTAGCCCTCCGTGGCCTCCAATTGCCTTCAGTGGACCGCTTGAGGCGCAGGAAAGCCAGACCAAGCGGCGCCAAGGTGTCCCGCAGCAGATCCGAGAAGTCCGCGCGTGGCTCCGAATCTATATATATATATATATATATACATACATATATACATATATACATATATATATATGTATATATACATACACATATATGTATATATATATATATATACACAAGTGGCGCGTGTGTGCCCAGGCTCATACACAAGAAAACTCTAAGGGCGTGTGAAGCAGGAGAAGAGGAGGAGGAGGATGGCTGCTGGGAGTGAAATGCAATAGCCAGGTCGCACTCGAGCGCAAGCGGGGTTGCCACACCTTGCGATGTGTGTACCAGAGCCCCCCAAGAAGACTCAGGAAACCCGCCTTGGATACCGGAAGAGGCTCCAGGAGGCCTCAGGATTGTGAGTGTTGTGTGGGTGTGTGTGTGTGTGTGTGTGTGATGTGTGCTGTGTTGTGCCTGTTTTCTGTGCGTTGTAGGTGTTGTGTGTGTGTTATGTTTGTCTAGCGTGTGATGTGTTGGGTGTGACTTGTGTCTCTTTGTGTACATGTAGTTCTGAGGTCTCAGGAGGCCACAGGAGGCCCCAGGAGGCCTCAGGAGGCCCCAGGAGACCCCAGGAGGCTCCAGGAGGCCCCAAGAGGCTCCAGGAGGCCGCAGGAGGCCCCAGGAGGCCCCAGGAGGTTCCAGGAGACCCCCCGGAGGCTCCGAGGCGGGGTCTGGGGTACCAGAAGGTACAGAAAGCCCCAGAAGGCCCCAGGAGGTTCCAGGAGGCCCCCAGGAGGCTCCGAGGCGGGGTCTGGGGTACCAGAAGGTACGTCGGGGCTCGATGTTGGGAGGATGTCTCAGGCGAAACCGCCATTCTCTGAGAATCGGGGTCAAAATCATTGAAATTACAATGTGTTTTTGAAGATTTCATGTTAGAACGCTGAAACTCCCATGTGTTCTTTGACCCTGACGTCACGATCTGTGTGAGGGGTGCCACCGATTTCCAGAATTTCGAGGATGTCCCTCGCGAAACGGCCAAACAAATCGCGAACGACGCGGCGCGTACGCATTAATCGCCTCTGAGCTCTACTCCCTCGGAGAGGTGCGTATGATAATAGATGTCTATATATACGAGAGAGCGTCATCCACCGCCGCTTTACTGTGGAAAATTGCCAACCTTTTCCTCCGGAGCCCGGGGGTCGCCCCCCCCCCTTCCGAACCCTCCCCCCCCCTTCTCCCCCGGCAAACCCCCCCCCTCCCTAACCCCTCCCCCCCCCCCTCTCCCGCTCGAAAACCGGGGGGGGTCACTACCGGTTCGAACCCCTCCCCCCCCCCCCCCCCTCCGGATCCGGAAAAACCGGGGGGGGTCACTACCGGTTCGAACCCCTCCCACCCCCCCCTACCCTCCGGATCCGGAAAACCGGAGGGGGCCACTACCGGTTCGCACCCCCCCTTCCCCTTTCCCCCCCCCCCCTACTCACCGCCAGCAAACGACTCCCGGTCCCCACCACCGTCCGCATCACATCCCCCACTGGTGTTCCCAGCACCACTGTCCTCACCACCGCTGTCCCCACTGGTTCCACCACCGCCCCTACTGTCCCCACCAGTGGCCCCACCACTGTCGCACTGTCCCCGCTGTCCCCAGAACTGTTCCCACCACGGTTCCACTCTCCCCACTGTCTCCACGGCCCCAACCACTGCCCGACTATCCCCACTGTCCCCACTGTCCCACTGACTCCTCCGCTGTCCCACTGAGCTGTCCCACTGTTCCCACCACTGTCCCCACTGTCCCCACCACTGTCCCCACTGTACCTCTGTCCCATTGTCCCACCGCCGTCCTCGCCACCGCCTTCACCACTGTCCCCACCACCATTGTACCCTCCACTGTCCCACTGTTTCCACCTCATTCCCATTGTCCCCACACCACTGTCCCCACCACCACCGTCACCACCACTGTCCACTGTCCCCCCCTGTTCCCACCATTGTCCCCACCACTGTCCCCACCACTACCGTCCCCACCACTGTCCCACTGTCCCACTGTCCCCACCACTGTCCCGCTGTCCCCTCACCACTGTCCCCACCAACACCGTCCCCACCACTGTCCGCACCCCCACTCGGTTTTCGAGGGGGGGGGGGGGGTTCGAACCGGTAGTGACCCCCCCCGGTTTTCGAGGGGGGGGGGGGAGGGGTTCGAACCGGTAGTGACCCCCCCCCTTTTCATGATGGAGGGGTTCGAACCGCTATAATGACCCCCCCGGTTTTCCGGAGGGGGGGGGGGGAGGGGTTCGAACCGGTAATGACCCCCCCCGGTTTTCCGCCAGCAGCGGTAGAACACGCTCTTTCATATATACATACATACATACATAGATACATACATACATACATACATACACATACATACATACATACATACATACATACATACATACATGCATGCATGCATGCATGCATGCATACATTCCATTCCATTCCATTCCATTCCATTCCGTTCCATTCCATTCCATTCCATTCCATTCCATTCCATTCCATTCCATTCCATTCCATTCCATTACATTACATTTGCATTACATACATACATATACACATACATTTGTATACGTATATATACACATGTTTGTTTACGCAGTTCATGAGTCTTCGATCTGTACGTAAAATAAAACCATCGCCCCTCAATCCTCCGACACGCCGCCTCGTTCTATGGCTTCACTCCCTCCTCCCTCGCCTTCCCTACTGCTCTTTGGCGCCGTGATGCCACGATGGTCCACCACGCAGAGCCTGGGGATCTTCTCCACCTCGAAGAAGTCGAGCAGCCGGACCACGTCGGAGTGCCCAAAGGGCAGGGACACCTGACGCCGACGGGTCGAGCACGGGATCGACTACAGACTGGATTTACCTCAGCATTGATTTGTTCGTCGGGTCTACGACACAATGCGTCGAATGTTCGTTGATCTACAAACATGAAAGGTACTTCTGACAGATCCGACGACACTTTCGATGTTCGGATAAATCCATTATATAGTCGATCCTCTAGTCAAAAACAGGGAAGGCAAAATGATGCAATGCGATGGGATGCGAGCACCGTTGCGGACAGTGTCCGTGCCTAGCTCAGCCCAGGTGGGTGAGGCCGTGGCCTCGATACTCTGGATTGTTTGGGTCCATGCAATGGGAGGCATCCCAAATGGGGTCGGAGTAGATGAAATCGAAGGATCGCGCCGCATTGACGATACATCGGCGATACATCGCCGATGCATCGGCGATGCATCGGCGCTGTCGGCATGGAGAAAATCGGGCCCCGCATCGAGCCGCATCGGCGATGCATCGTCGATGCGACGCGATCCTCCGACCCCATCTACTCGGACCCCATCTGGGAGGCCTAGGGCAATGCGGGACACATGAAATGTTAGGAGGAAAAAGAGTATGAGGATGAGGTATCGGCGCGGGCTGGGCGTGGTGCCGACCGGGGGAGGCAAAGAGGTGGGGAGGGAAGAGTCTTCCTGCTCCACCTCGCCCTCCCCCTCGGTTTCACAGACCTCCTTCTCGCCGCTCAAGCTCGGAGAAATCAAGCCGCCGAGTCACGTCGGAATGTCCGAGAGGCAGGGACATCCGACGCCGACAGGAGGGCAAAGGGGAAGCGGTACGGCAGAGTCCGAGGGGGCGTCGTAGCCATTCACTACCCTTGGAGGCCCGTTTCGGGCCCTGGGGTCTCCAGAAATCAGTTGGCAGCGCGCAGAGGGGGGGAGGGGGAGGGGGGGAGGCTTCTTAGAAGCAACTGCTTCTTAGAAAGGTGGGGCCTTCCATCTACAGACAAGACCCGCGCCTTCTAAGAAGCATAGGTGTCTAAGAAGCCTTCCCCCCTCCCCCCCCCCCTCTGCGCGCCGCCGAATGAATCTGGAATGAAAAAACTAGCCAGGACGGACCTGCGGAACAGTCTGGGGACTGATTTTTCGAGCGGGCAAGGGAGAGGAGGAAGGAAAGTGAGGTCGGCGGGAGGGAAGAAAGCAACCCTGAGATCCTGGGGTTACGAGATTACTCGCGTCGGGCATTTTCACCCAGTGTTCGGTCCCTGTGACCCTTATGGGTCAATCCGGCTCGAAAACTTGCGCAAAAGCATGGGGTCAAGGGCTCTGGTCGTGACTTGCTTGTGGCGATGCCGCAAGCTTTCGGCAACATCATACCTCAAGGGAGTTGAGCAGGGACCGACCGTCCCGTCTTTCCTATAGGCCTACCACGAAATATTCTTAGAACTCCGAGCCCCAAAATGTTCCAAAACCAAAACAAAGGTTCTTAGAACTTAAGCAGATGGGTTAAAAGCAAGACAGCCTCAGCCAGACATGTTCTAAAGCCATTTCGTGCAAACCACAAAAGGTGCTCAGAACATGCTTCGGCAGGCCTGTGGGCAAGCCAGGACGCCTCGCCGCTGCTTGTGGGAGGAGGAGAAAGGAGGGGGGGGCAGGTTTTACGCACCTCCACGGCGAAGCGTCCCAGGATTGAAGGGACCGAGGCGAGGGAATGAACTGACCGTTCCTCTCCCTCTTAGGGTTAGGTCGGGCAAATCCTCCTACAGGCGGACTTCGTGAGACAAATCCGGACTCGTCCAAAAATGTACTCGCTGCATGATAACCAACAGCACGAAAAGTCGTCAACATACTACTTTCCGGCTGCTCCTGCACATTCTCATCCTGCAGAGGGACGCGCCCGACTCGAGGCGATGGGCTGCTCGTCCCCTTCGGGGAGGAGGGCCGCAGTAGTGCGGCAGAGAGCAGCGGAGTGCTGCCCTAGGAGGAGCAGACACGCCTGGCACTCCTAACTGGAACAAGAACAAAAGAGCCCCTGTCCCCGGAAAGTGTTTCTGGTCCTCCTAACTCAGGTCCCCTCCCAAAGGGTTAGGGGTCCTTTCTTTGGCCAATCATAAGAAGGCCAGGGCCTTCTTGGAAGCCCTCCCAATCCCACCAGCCCTCTGGGCGTCGGTGGTTTAGGGCGTTTCCTCTTCCACCCCTCCCTCTTCCACTTCGGGGAGGGGTTTACCCCTCCCCCTACCCCCTCCCCACTGACCTGGACAGGAGGGGCCGCGAGCGGTCAGAGCGTCCAAAACGGCCTCGGCGAGGAAGCCAAAATCATTGATTTTACTATGGTTTGGGCCCCATTTTGGCCTTCTGAGGGGGCAGCGCTAAATTAAAGCTCCCCTCTTCTTTGATCGATTTCCTCCACGATGGCCGCAAGAGGCCCCCAGGATGCCCCAAGAGGCCGCAGGATGGCCCCAAGATGGCCCCAAGAGGCCCCCCAAGAGGCCCCCAGGAGGCCCCCAAGAGACCCCCAAGAGGCCCCAAGAGACCCCCCAGAGGCACCCAAGGTGCTCCCAGAGGCCTCGGCGATAATGTCAAACCATTGTTTGCACTAAGGTTTTAGCCACATGTTGGCCTCTTGGGGGGGGGGCATTGATTAAGATGACTCCAAGAGCGCCTCGGAGAGCCCAAAATGACCTCCAAGATGGCTCAAGAAATCCCAAGATGTCTCATACTGGCTTCCTCTGTGTGCTGTCCACTTCCCTGATCGAGGCAATCCCACCAGCCCTCTGGGCGTCGGTGGTTTAAGGCGTTTCCTCTTCCACCCCTCCCTCTTTCCCTTCGGGTAAGGGTTTACCCCTCCCCCTACCCCCTCCCCGTGGACCTGGACGGGGGGGGCCGCGAGCGGTCTGAGCGTCCAAAACGGCCTCGGCGAGGAAGCCAAAATCATTGATTTTACTGAGATGTTGGCCCCGTTTTGGCCTCCTGAGGGGGCAAAGATGGCCCCAAGAAGCGCCCAGGAGGCCCCCAAAGGCCCCAAGATGGCCCCAAGAGGCCCCAAGAGGCCGGAGGCCCCAAAGAGGATCCCGAACGGCCCACAGAGGCCCCCCCCGAGGCACCCAAGACGCCGAAAAGCCCCTCAGGACGACCCTCTACTCGCCTGGGCGTCGTTTCTGGACGGGCTGGTGGGGATACGCGAAGCGTCTAGAATTTCTAGGGAAGCCTGCCTAGTCTCGAAGAAGAAACAGTGTTATAAATAGAAGTTTTTGGCGCTCCGCGCGGATTTCTTAGATCTGCGCTGGATCCCTCGCCCCATCGCGCGCAACGCGACAGGAACCTATTTTCTGTAGATCCAGGCAAGTTTACTTGCATGGCGTTCGCCCGGACCCCTCGCCCCTCATCAATCGAACACGAGCGTGCAAGTGCCTTTCGACCTGCGTGGGTTCCGCACGTCAAGCTGCTTTCGGCTTGCTTCAGGCTCAGGCCCCCCCCCCGTTCATGCAAGCAAACTTGCCCGAGCCTAGAAAAACAGGCCCTGGGATCTGCGCTGGACCCCCCGCCCCGGCGCGCGGAGCGCGCCAGGGGCGGCGCCGGAGGCGACGCTGGGGGGCCCGGCGCGGATCCAAGAAATCTTCGCGGAGCGCCAATACGAAGGGGAACTGGGACACACAATTAATGAGACACAAATAACCAGATTCCCAATATTTTCCTATATTGTTTGGTTTTCTGTCTTCCCCCCACTTCCCATATTTTCCCATATCATCTGGGGAATCGGCGATTAATTGTGTCTGTGTGTGTTTTCCCCTCCTGCCAAAAGTTTCTGTTTATGTCGTTTTTGCTTCTTCGATGCGCCCCCGCCGCCGACCCCAAAGGCAAGAGCAGCAGCAGGAGGAGCGGCAGGCGATCCGCCGCCACCACCGACAGGAGCCTCAGCATCGCGCGCAGCAGCATCCAGCACGGTCGCCGCCGGCGGAACGACAGTCGTCAGCGCCGCCATTATCCAGCGACACCAGCGGCGGGACGGGGAGCGTGAGAGAGGGACACAACAGACAAAAACCTGTTCCTCCTCCTCCTCCTCCTCCTCCTCCTCCTCCTCTGCCTTCTCCGCCTCCTCCTCCTCCCTCTCCCGTTTCTCCTCCCTCTCCCCTTTCTCCTCGTCCTCCTCCTCCTCCTCCTCCTCCTCCTCCTCCTCCTTGTCCTCCTCCTCCGCGTCCGCCTCCTCCTCGTCCGCCTGCCCCTCCTCCTCCTCGTCCGCCTCCCCCTCCTCCTCCTCCTCCACATCCTCCTCCTCCTCCTCCTCCTCCTCCTCCTTCAAACAATTCCTTCCCGTTGCACCCTGAAGGTGGGCGTTTCGCCTGAGATTTCCTAACCGCTCATGGCCCTGAAACTTAGCCTCTCCAGGTGCGCGACGGCCCATGGGGCCCTAAACTGGACGAGAGAACCCCCGGCGTGAAACGCCCAGATCCCGCAGGACAAGGGCTGAGGCAGCAGCAGCAGCGGGTCACCGTTGTTGTTCCTTTGCCTTTCCTGGGCAACTGTCGTTGCCCAGGCGGCGGGTATCGGGCGGGAGGGTAGCCGTAACGGCGGCCGCGGGGTGCACCCGCCAGGGTACGCCCGCGCCGCCTGCGCACCAATCACCTGTGCGCACCACAGCATGTAAGGGGGGGGGTGCCCAGGCCTTAGATAATCTTACGAAGGATGGGGGCGTGTGTGTGTGTGTGCGTTTTCACAGGATCTACGTTTTCTTTCGAATTTTGGCACCGTGTTTGTTACGTAGCCCCCTGCAGTTGCGGATGAGAGTGAGAGGGCGGCGAGGACGTCGTCAGTCTGCGAGGCTCTGAAGAAGCCCGCCGCAGGCGCCAAACTTTTGCAACTTATGCAATGAGCCCGCCGCAACAATGTGGGTGGGTCGCGGGTGGGTCGCGGGTGGGTCGCGGGTGGGTCGTGGGCCGGGTCGCGGG